ATTTGATTATATTATTATTATTATCTCACTTAGGATCTATTAGCGGTTAACTAATAAATGTTAGTATTTGATATAAATTTTAGTGATAGTTGTCATTAAAAAATATAATGGTAATGAAGGGTTAATTTTTTTATATATTATATTGTATAATTTGTATATATTTTTTAATTTTTAAAGGTGAATATATTATTTTTTATTTTAATTTTTTTTATATAAATAGAGAATACTAATTAATTTTTTTACTATAATATTTAATATATTGTTATTATTTTTCGAATAATTATAAACAAATTGATAAAAACATTATTTTTTTAAAAAATAATTTTATTACTAATTTTTTTATAAGGTCAATGAGTTCAAATAAAATATAAATACATCAGTTACAAGTTAGAAATGAAAAAGCCAAACACATCGCTAATGTGATTAACAATAACTAAAATTTTTATAATTTATCGTCTACTGATTAAAATCCTTACAAAATACCTAAAATCTAGATATTAGATGCAAATCATCTATTGCTACACAAATCATCTAAATCAAATATCTTCTAATACTTAAATCTTAACAATTCTCTCTCTATTAATCTATCATTCAGTCACTTATCTCTCTTTTTGAATATTGGGAATTGCCTAAGAAAGAGAAGGAAGTCATAAGATAGTCTTTAGAAAATTATAGACAATAATTATTGTATTTAATAAAAAGAAAAGATAAAATTGAAAAAAACTAATAAAATTTTTTGACTTTTAAATGTACGAATAATTTTGAAGAAAATATTTAAAAAAAAAAAAAAAGACAGATGGACTAGATGATACTTTTAAATTTGAACTAAACAAAGGAAAAGTCTTCAAAATTCGACTAAATTTGTTATTTTCTTTAGGATAGTCTAAAAGACAAATGGAATTATTTTTATTCTGTCTTTAGACAATTGATCACATTCGTTAATTTTAAAAGATTGATCATCATATTCCTATTAACACAGACAGTCAAATCCACTCAGGGGTTTAGACCTTAGAAGCTACTGATGTTATTGGTTGGCGGGCCCAGATACCGCGTCTCACGTGTTGAAAAGCTCACACGCGTAAAGTTATTTTGTCCCCTAGAAAACACCTATGAACGACACTCCAAGTCACCTATTACCCAAATCGAAAAGGAGGCTAAAACTTTCCATTGCCAAAAATAAATAATAAATAAATCAAAAGTTCACATGATTATGAAAAAATGATGATCATATTAATAAATTGTTTTTTTTATTTTCATTAACTTAGAACCGATTAAGTTATTATTGAGAATAATATAAACTTAAATATATTAAATTTTTTAACCTAATATATCTAGACTAAGTTTGGATTTAAGAGAAAGCTGATCGGATAAGATCAGTGCTTAGATATATTAAATTTTTCATGGACAATATATATAAACAGAGTAAAATTATCTTTATTGATAAAGAAAATATATGGTTTGAAACTAATACATCTTTCATTTTCAAAAACAATTGAAAGACAGGGGATTTGAAGCTTGGAAGTCTGGATGCATTAGCTTTTTCCAACAATCTGAGTTTCAGGATTAGAAGTTTGAATATGGTCAAAGTAAGGCTTAGTTTGAATATGGAAGAGTTGGATTTAGAAAGAAGATAATAATAGTAATAATTTGGTAAGAAAGAAAATATGAGAAATGGAAGAAAAAGAAATTGATGGTGAGATCCTTTGGAATGCAGAAAAACCCAAACACGCTTACAGTTGCAGAGCATGAAATAATGCAATGGTTGGTAAAGCAAATGATGGATTCTCCACAGCCTGTTTTTTCTCCCCTACAAAGGAAAACACCAACCAACCCAAAGGTTAAAAATATAGACCAATATAAATAAATAATAGACTCCGTAGGGGTAAAAGAAAAAAACTCAAAAAGAATAGTGTCAATAATATTTTTTTTTTTCATTTTCTTGAAAGGGTTTTAATTTATAGGAGAATTATTTTTTACCTTGAGATATTGATGTCTTAAATTAGTAGTGCCACGAGTGGTTGAACCACTACAATTTATTAAGTAAAATACTAAAATGAATCGTTATATAAAAACTGTGGGCCGAATACAATCGTTATATATCTTTATATGAATTTCATCTATAAACTCAATCGTTACATAAAATCAATAGAGATATAATATGTTTTCATACTAATTTTATTTATAAAATCAGAATTCAAAATTTAAAGTCGTAATTATTCAAAAGTTTTATCTAAACATAGTGTTCGCTCTATAAAGTAAAAAAGAAGAAGAAAAAAAAAAAAAAAACATATGAAGAAGGAGGCGATAATAATAGTACTATAGTAGCAACTTGTGAGTAAGAGGGTACCTACCCTAATGATTACTAGGAAACCCTACAAAACAACCATAGTTGATAGTCCTTTGAAATCTGTCCTACTCATTTTAGCTTCTTCAAATTGGTAGGGCCTTGTTTTGGTGGCAAAATATGAGGAGACTAGAAAGGCTATTAAGGACATGGATTTCACAATTTGATTAAGACTATTCAACTATAAATTCCCAGGTATAAATAAGAATGCTAGGACATTTTATAAGACAATAATGCCACTAAAATGTAGGGAGAAACTTTTCTAAGTAAATAAACAAGAGGACAAGACAAAATAACATTTATGTGCACCTATCATATTATTATATAAAATCTATTTTGTACAAATTTATTTTTATATAATATTGTCCATATTTTTTAATAAAATTATTTTTGAAGAAAATGTTCAAAATAGATGAATTATATAAAATCTATTTGCAAGTTCCTAACTAATGTGCTTACAACCTCAATTTTTTATTTTCTAAAATTTGTTTAACAAAATTCTACCACAAGCATTAGAATTTACGAGTTTCTGAAAACTATAATGATTTACTTAATTTGAAATAATATATAATTAAATGAATGAAAAATTCTTTTCACTTTTACTGAAAATACATAAAAATTGAATTTGGAGTATCAAAGTACACCAAATTTCAACCCTAAGTTAGTTGGCATCAATTATATAAGTCTCTTTCTTTAATATGTTCTTAATAAAATTCTAATGACAGTTTTTTTTTTTTTTTTTTCCCATTATCACTTTAGGTAGGATTTCAAAACTGAATAGTGTCACTGATTGTTAATTAGACCCCACAAGAGCAAACTAATAGAGTAGAATTTACTGATTTTGCAACCAATTTTAAGTAAAAAAAGAAAAAAAAGTCAACTTTAAATTCTAATTAGAGAAACACAAATATTTATAAAGTTTGTTTCTAAATATGAATCCAATGTTAATTCACCAATCACTTCAATGTGGTTAGAGTTAGGAGCCATTATTCCTCAATTTACTAGCAACAACAACAACAACGTGGAAGCAACATATAGACACTAATGATTAGATAGAATGGTAAGCTGAGTCGGGCAACAGTTTTTTAAGTAATCTTTAATATTTTGATTAGTCAAAATATTAAATATTATTTTTTTTTATATTGTTAAGTAAGATAATGTGCAAAGAGGTTAAGATGATAATTTATAAAAAATTAATTCCTGTAACGTTTAGCTTTTAGCGTTTTTTCAAACAGTTAAATTATATTAATAACTAATTTTATCAAACATGTTGTTTTACCAAACATCTCCCAAGTAATAATGGCATTGATACATGACCTAAACTTGTAATAATGATTTAAAGTAATACACAACGGGATAACTCGGTTAATAAGAATATATATATATTTTTTTATTCATCGATCAGATGCAAGTAATGTCTAATCAAAATGGTTAATATGATATATAAATTTAAACGTTACTTAAAAAGACCGTTAAATGTATTCTCATTTCTCACTGTCTGTTTGGAAGATAGTGCATTTACTAATTCAGTAATTCCTTAACAAGCACAAAAACAAGTAAATTAATTAAATAATTCGAAATAAGAAGGGAGCAATTTAGAAAGGTCGAGGCCAATGTCTTATTATGATTGGTTCTCCTTTGAAACTTGATGGGGACAAAACTGTAACATAACCATTTCTTAATTGTAATCAATTTAATATAATATTATGAACAACTTCTGCAACTGTTCTGTATACACCACCACCACATTCATAGCATCTTTTTTGCTAATTAAATAAATACTACTAATCTGCAAACCAATAATGCACAACCCTCATTTAATTAATTAAATAAATAAATAATTTACAAAGGTCGCATTCAGCAAGACCTTGAATTAGAGCCTTTCGTTTAAATTTTACTTGTAAAATTAAAAATTCAGAAGGGCAATTATTAAAAGATTTTACATGAAAAAGGCTTCCAATCTAAATATAAATACATGTAAAAAAGAAAAAAAAAAAAAGTCTTTTGTTGAACCCAAAAATTGGAATTTTATTAACAACCGCTAAATTTGTTTATTAAAACAATTAATCTAATTCTTGAAGGGTATCTTTCCATACCTGAACTCCACTACATTAACCTTTTTTTAATATATATAAATAATTTTAAAAAAAGTGGATGAGATTGTAAAGCTTTATGATTCATTGGGTCTAGTCAGAATCTCACCACTGCCAACCTGGGATTCTTTTGATGTTGTTAATTATTGTTTATTAATTTAGTAATTAAATAATTTATTAAAAGGGTAGTTCCAACTTCCAACCTCCAATCTTTGCTTGATTGATTTTTGTATTTGTACAGTAAAAGAAAGTGTAAAGAACAGAAGCTTCTGTTTTTGGTTAATCAAATGAAAATTACAGGAGCTGAGTGTGTGCCAGAAATCATGCAGAGGCTGACCCCAAAACCCAGCCCAACCCAAACCCAAACCCAAAATAACTCAAATATAATAATAAACCAATGTCTTAATCACTCAAATTAGACTTTTTAAAGAAAGGACCCAACAAATACAGCTGGTTACAACATTATAAAAAAGAATCAAAATCCATAAGATTACATGATCTACCCTTGCTTAATTGATGTGACCCTTTTCCAAAATTAACCAAATTAAATCAAAATTAATATATTAATCATAATCAATATAAAAATAAAAATTCTTCATTATATCTTACATAATTGGTGCTACAATACTTTGCAGCAGAGTACATGATTGGTGCTATAAGATTTTACAGTGGATAATTGCAAGAAAATTCCACAAGAAAATAGGTAAAAGAAGGGGAAAGCTCCTTGATAGGAAAAAATATATATATTAAGACCAAGGAAAAAAAAATATTATCTTCTTAATTAACCTAAAAGATAAATGGCTTAGCAGTTGATTTGCTGGTCCAAATTAATTTTCTTGTATATACAATATCCTCATTTTCCCTTTTCCCCCCTGTCCACCTGGACCTTCAATTTGGGAGTAAAGAATGGTAATTAGGGCTCAATTTTCATATGAGAAGCTTGACTTGAACCTGCATTTATTAATTCAATGCTTTTCATTAACAAAAATTTCATAGAAATTAGAAACTTTTGCACTGTCAATTTGATCATCTTTTGTCTCTTACCAGGGAAGTTCTGTGGCTGCAATGGTAATTCCTGGTTCGAATTCGGATTCTGCCTGAAACCCATTTGAACAATGGTTTGTAGATCATCCTCAGAGAATGTTGGATACTGAAAATAATTAGAGAAGCAAATTCAGATTTTCTTCTTCTTTTTCCCAAATAGATTGCGAAGAAAATACACTTTTAAGTGCTAATTAATTTAAATTTAAACTAATTACCTGAGGAATGGTATGGTTAAATGGGTCAAGTGGGGGTAAGTGCATATTGAAGTTTTGGCATAGAGCAGTATCTAATGGGTCCCCTACAGAGCATTGAGGTACTGTCCCATTAGAAATGTTGCTATGTAATGGTGGATTTTGCTGCGGTTGGTGGCCAAATATGGCTGGTGCCGAGGAATCTAATGGGAATATTGGGGATTGAAAAATCTAAAAACACAAAAATCCAAAAATTATAAATAAATTTTAAAAAAGAAAATTGAAATGCTTATAGAGGTGACAGGCCATTGACTAATGAGCAAAAATTAAAATAAAACTTACATCTTTTGGAATGAGAGTGTCCATATTGAAATCCAGCCTGGTATTTACAGAAGCCAACTTCATGGAGAGAAACTGCTCCAAGATTAATTAATTAATTAATCAAATAAATAAAGTTAAGTGTACAATGATTAGGCATGCCAACTTTAATTTGCAAATTATGATTATGTATGTTGATTAGTTACTAATGATAATAATAACATTTTCCTTTTTTACCTCCACTTGGCGTTGCAATGACTGGACATAATTTATAATTTCATCAAGCATTAGAGCCTTTCCCGTGACCTAATAAATTTGGAAATACCGTACAATTGTCAATTTTATGTTCGAACAAAATGTAATCAAATGCATTTCTAGTAAATTTATGTTTTCACGTACCTTATTGCAACCTGGTACAAGATCTTGCAGAAGCTTCATTCTTTCACTAATTTTTTCTCGACGGACCTGCGATCAAATTAACAAATGTTAATCCAATAAATTTGATTGGATAATTTTTTTCAATAGATTTGGATTTGAATTCTCACTCTTTCAGCTAAACTGTGACTATCAGTAGCTTGACCTCTTCTTGCTCGAACATGAATATAGTCCTTTGGAGGTTCAGGTGGCTTTGAATTATTATTATCCTTATTTTGCTTCTCATCTTTCTGCTCTTCTTCTGCTTTAACTGAGCTCTTTTCATTTCCACTCCCTTCATTTGACTTGCTTCGCTTTGAATTTGAAGTCTCATCGATTTCTGCATCCTGAGAAAAAATTCAATTTCTATGTGAAATCAAGAAATGGGAAAATTGGTAGCGTTATTTGTTTAATGATCTTTCTTTTTACCTTTGAAGCATTGGCTGGTTGAGATTCTTTTAACTTTCCCTTGGAAACAGATTTCCTTTTCTTGGAATTTAATTCATTGGGAACCTTCAAAGTGGCAGCTTCAGCATTTGGGGTTTGTTCAGATACAGAGGAACAATTCTCCTCTTGGGAAGAATTACCCAATTCAGATCGATCAAACAGTGGAGAAGAAGAATAATTCTTATTCCCCTTCTGAGATCCAATTGCTTTGAGTGAGGGACTACTTGAAACCCTAGGCAATTTCCCATTTCCCATCAATGGGTTTGGATGATTATTACATTTAAAAGCAAATTCTGCATTATTTAACCCTAACTGGCTTGTTCTGCCATTAAAACTCCTGCTACCAAAACAAGAAAATCTTGCTGCTCTTTCTGCAAATCCAGGATCAGCTGTAAATTCCGCTACGCTAGAATTCAAAGCTCCCAAATTAGGGAAATTCAAACTCTCCTTAGGAGGAAATCGATTCAACTTAGGCGGTGAATTTAAAGGAGTACTATAACAAGAAGTGTTGGTGCTGTTATTGCCGCCATTATTAATATTATATGAAGCTGCCAACATAGGCTGAGAATGCGGTGAGATCTCGCCGGAGTTGTTGCCGTTACCAATATTCCCTAATTTCCCGATTAATTCTCTGATCATAAAGTTGTCGCTTGATATGTTCGAGTTGGACGCCGCCGGTGATGAAACCATTGAACTCAGAGCAGAGTCAAAGTGAAGAGATTGATCCGTTGACTTTTCCCAGTTGGCATTGAAGAAGGAATTTGGGGTTTGTTCAGAAAAGGAATTGAGTTCATTAGTTTGCGTTTCAATGGCAGAAGAGAGAGTAGGCCAAGTGGGTATTGTTGAGGTTGGCACAAAATGCAATGGCGGTGGAGGAACTCCTGCATTGAGAAAGAACTCACTCTCCATAATGAATTTTCAGCTTAAATTTGAGTAAATAACAAAAAAAAAAAAAATTACAGTTAAGGATTTAGCAGAGAAGCTCTGGAATTCTTGTGTGCAATGAACATAAAAAGAAACCAAAATGATTGTTTAAAAACAGAGCAAGTGATGGTTGGGTGGAATGGGTGAATGGTTATGAGTTCAAATTGATTGCATTAATGGGAAAACAGAGAGATTGAGAGAGAGAAGTTTGGTATGATGAAAAAAAAAACTATGTTTGGTGAATAAAAGTTAACAGAAAGAAAAAAAAGAGCAGGAAAGGGGGAGAGAGAGAGAGAGAGAGAGAGAGAGAGAAAGGGGAAGAAGATGAGTTGGGCTATGAAGAGGTTTTATAGATGATAAATAAAATAAAAAAATAATTAGTAATACAACTTCAGGAAGTTTTGTTGGCAAGAGGGTTTAGTTAATTTAATTAAAAAAATTTAAATTTGGAGCTAAATTAAAAAGAAAAAGATATTTTTATTTTATTTCGAAATTACATAATATTAAAAGATTGTGTTGGGCTCAGTCAAAAGTTAAATACCAGTATTTTTTATAGTGTTTGGTACAGTAAGTTTTATAGAAGGCTATTTTTTTATATTGGTTGGCAAAGTAGCATTTTATAAAAAATTAATTTCTTATGAAAACTATTCAAACAACTAGTAGCTACTTAAATATAGGCATGAGCAAATGTCGATTCGGTTCAAATCGAATCGAAGTCATAAACCAAAATTTTTTTTATAATAAATCAAACCGAAACTTACATCTGAATCAAATTAGTTGGTTGTAAATCGAATTGATGAATTTCTGTGTAACTGAATTGAACCAAGCAATAAATTTGATTCAGACAAAATGACTTTCTCTTGGACACTTGATCAAACCAAACCGAAATGGCTCGGTTCGATTTTTAATCGATAATTTTACTCACTGTTATTCAAATAACTAAACACTACTAAAATAGCTATCAGTTAAACAGACCCAAAGACGATATTGGTATGGAGATGACTCTCTTTTCAACAACAATTATTTTAAGTTTTTTATTTTCTTACGAAATAATAAAGTTTATTTGTAAATACAGTTTGGCTAATCCAACTCATTATTGATATGAATTACATAGCCGCAGTTAAGGTTATTTCCTACTACTTATATGTATATATATATATTGGTATGGAGATGATCTCTTTTCAAAACACAATTATTTTAAAGTTTTTTATTTTCTTACGAAATAATAAAGTTTATTTGTAAAATACAAAGTTTGGGCTTAATCCAACTTCAATTATTGATATGAATTACAATAGCCGCATTAAGGTTATTTTCCTACTACTTATATGTATATATATATATATAATATATATATAATATATATATATAATAGTATAATGTAGGTTTGACCCATTGTAACTTTTATAAATAAGAAAAAGTAGAAGGTTTCTCCTATTCCCGCAAAAGCGGAGGGAGGAGGTATTGCCGGGCCTTGGGGAACGTCAAGCACCTAAACGGTCATTTATATAATGTAGGTTTGACCCATTGTAACTTTTATAACTAGAAAAGTAGAGGTTTCTCTATTCCCGCAAAAGGCGGAGGGAGGAGGTATTGCCGGGCCTTGGACGTCAAAGCACCTAAACGGTCCATTTTTCCCCCTCTGATGATTCTTGAAATACTAAACTCTTGTTCATATTTTTCTTTTTCTTTCTTGCATGAAACCCAACAGGGACATGTCTCAAAAGGCCTCCAATTTTCAACCCAAGAGGGCATGGTCTCGGGGAGGAAACTCTCTGTACACTGTGTTTGGATTGGACTCCATTATTCATTACCGTGTCATGTGAGAGCAACTTGTAACCAAGTGCTATCAATTTTTCTTTTTTTTTCTTTTTTACTACTAGTCTTATTTTATTAGATTAGGTGTAACATTAAATCAACATTAATTGGTACTTGTTATTATTGGATTAATTATTTACTGGTTTGAGATTTATTTATTAGGTTCTTTGGCATATAACATTCTACATAACATAACGTTGTCTTTGATTAGGATTTTCTTTTCCCTTGTGACATACCTTTTTTCTATAGAATATTTAAATTCACTTTATAATTTTATGAAAAATTTTACGGTGTCTCAAACTTTATTTAAGCTCCTGTACTTCTAAAATTAAGAGTTTTGATAATATTATATACATCTCCCATATTAGCAATAATAGTCGTTTTTTGTAGGCTTAATCATCAATTTTACCATGAATTTTTCAAATAGTTACAATCGACCTTTTGCAGGCTTATTATTTAGAAATTTTAAATTTTTATTGTTGAGATGTCTATTGAAAATTATAAAAATATTAAAAAAAAACATCAAAACCAAAATTGGAATGTTGTAGAAAATATTCCAAAATATAACTAAAAACTTTTTTTTTTCAAAAAGAAAAGGAGGAAAATGTTTAAAATCGGAATAGGACGAGTTGGAGGCCGATAATATCAACTCATATTCTACTTTAGGTTAAGTTCGTAGCAGGACGCATGAATATAGACTTTACTTTTTCTTCAATGATATAATTTTCTGATTCGAGAGAGAAAGCCTAAAACGTTAAAAAAATTTAGGGTTTTGGATCACATCGAGTCCCAAGGAGTTGGAGGCATTTTACTGCCGCTGCAAATGCCCTAAGCAGAGACTGGTGCACGTTACAAGAAAGAAGAGAAGAATAAAATTGAAGATAGGGAAATTGATCTCACAGTATGGGCTTCTCAATGAGCAACTCAGAAACTCTAAAATGGAAGTAAAAGGTTCATTCTTCAGCTCACCATTTATCATTCATTCATTCAGTATTAACTGACTCTTTCTTCTCATGATTTAACCCTTCTGTTTACTTGCTATTTATTTTAATATTTAAAATTTTTCTTTCTTAGGGCTAGGGTGATATACAAGAAACATAACGTAATTAAAAATGGCAAATTGGCAATGATTGGAGTCAACAATAAGATTTGGGCGGATTTATAGTATTTTTTATTGGGCTGTTAATTTCTTATTTCTCTGTGGTGGGTAATTAAAAAAAAAAAATTATCATTGACTATATATTAAAATAGGAAAAAATAAAAAATTGAAAAAAAAAATATTAATAACGTGTTAGGCATAGTCAATCATTGCATTAAATTCCCATACCACCAGTTAACCCGGCTTTGGTCGGGTTCACATAATATACCGACTGCCTTGCAATTACTGAGCTCACCTTCTCAGAAACGCAATAAAAAAAACAGTAGAGCATTAAGTTATATATTTTCCCTTTTTACCAATTTTTTTTTAAAAGCAAGAGCTTTAATCCCTTCTCGGACCGTGGACGCCAAAGATTTTTGAACCTATTCGAAAATCATACTTGTCATTTTTACCCTTCGTTATATTGCACATAGGATTATTTATGTAAAAAAATAAAGAGAAAATTACAATTAGGCCCTATTGTATGCGAAAATACAACTAGTTCATCTTTGATTTTTAAAAATATATCAATTTGTTTATATATTTTACTTCCGTTACGCTTCTATGTTTTTTTATCAAATTTTTATATCTTTTTCGTTAAGTTAACAAGAAAATACAGAAGTCAAAGGAAAAATATTCAAAATTTTAAAATAAAAAGAAAATTACAGTACGATCCATGTAGTTTGCGAAATATAATTAGTCTGTCCATATCTTTTTTAAAATATATTAATTTATTTCTATATTTTGCTTCCATTATACTACTAGGTTTTTCTGTCCATTTTTTTTGCATCTTTTCTGTTAAGTTAACAAGAAAATATAGAAGTCAAAATGAGAGATACTAAAATATTATACCAAAAAAAATTACAGTACAATTCTTATAGTTTGAAAAATACAATTAGTCTGTGTTTTAAAAAATAAAAGGGGTTTTTTTTTATTTTATAAAGTACTTAACGGAAAAAATGTAAAAATTGGACAAAAGGACTTTATAGTCTGACGAAAGTAAAATATAAGGATATTTTAATCTATTTTAAAAAAGATAGGGACGGACTAGTTGTATTTCGCAAACCACGTAGATCATATTGTAATTTTCTCAATTTTTATATGAGATAAATTATAGTACAATTCCTATAGTTTGAATAATACAACTAGTCAATCTCTGTATTTTTTAAAATATACCAAAAATTAAAAGTGATAAAAATGATATTTTTCATTATTTTATAAAGAATTTAACGGAAAAAATGTAAAAATTAAATAAAAAGACTTTATAGTCTGACCGAATAATTACATAAAGATTTTAGTATATTTTTAAAAATACAAAATCTGACTAATTATATTTCGTAAAATAAAGACACCGCGCTATATTTTCCAAAAAATAAATTGGATGGTTTTGAACTTGACTCCTGACCTATCACAATAGGAATTAGGCAACTAAAATACTATTGACCAGCCAAATAGCGTCCATCATGTATAGGTCAGGTCAGGTGTTTCCTACCCATATGGCATGCAAGAAACAAGATTTTCTAAAAATTTAACACCCCACCATATTTGGTTGGGCAAAATGGTAACTTAATGATGGGAATGCAATTCCAATTACTACTTTCTTGAATACAAAACACCAAAAGTGCCAACTGAGTATAATGGTTTCTTGGGCAATGCAAGAAATATCATATAACCATATATGTACAATCAGATATTTGGCAGAAAGCATGTAAAATAAATATGCTGAGGGGAAAAAAATTAATAAAAATAGAGAACATATGCATATGTTTACTTTATGTGTCCCCTTAGGGTTGTACAAGAATCTTTAATATTAAAACTTGGTTCTAACTATGGATTAATGATAATTTTGATATTAATTCTGCTAATGTGGATGCCTTAATTATTATAATACATATATGGTTTGTTTAATCATTATAGACCATCATAACAAAGCAAGATTATAATGGAATTTTAAACCAAACAAAGGAGTTGTTGTTATAATTAAAGGCATTACCTAATTTTCTTACGAGAGAACGAGAGTATTTATTTACCACTATAAACTACTCTCTCCGTCCCATAAAAATTATCCGCCTTTTCATTTTGAGATATTTCAAAATAATTGTCCACTTTTATTTATAGTATGCATTTGAAGTTTTTTTTCTCATTTTACCCTTTAATAAATTCACATTTTATGTGTAGTTGCATTTAATTACATATATAAATTTGGAGCTAAGTTATTGTGTGAATAAAGGTAGAAAAGGGAAACACATAAATTATCACTACATTAACTGTATTTTCTTAAAATTATAGAAAAGAAGTGTGACAATTTTTGGGACAGGAGAGAATATATTTTAGTGTGATTTT